AGGCAATAGATTGCTCTGCTCATAGATATCACTTTAGAGCTTTTATCCTTGCTGTGATATGCGTGGCACGCTGCCTGGTCTTTGTTTCTTGCTGCGGTTCGTGATCCTTGCGGCGTTTTTGAGCATCTTGATTGATGCTTGCAATGCGGTGTTTAAAAGCCTTTGTGTGATGCGTTGGCGCACTGGCTTGACCCCAGCATTCAATGTGTCAGGTGTCACTCACTTCTTGCTCTACACATCATCTCATTGTTTACTTTAATTTTTTTTTTCCAGAATCTTAAAAAATGGAAGAGGAGCTTAAGAACTTTGAGGAGCATGTAATGCCTGGAGATCTTTTCCGTTCCCCGGTGATCATCGCCATCGTTGTTGCGGTGCTGATTCCTCTCGTTGCGACGATCTTTTCGTACAACAAAAAGCCGAAGTTGCGCAGTGTGGAAGTGAAAGTCGGGGGTGAAGCTGGCCACACTCGCCGGAATCACAGGTTTTTGAGTTTGATCGAGACGCCGTGGGAAGGAGCAAACACACTTGCAGCACTCTTTGAGCAGGCTTGCTCTAAGTACCCAAAGAGGCCGCTGCTGGGATCCAGAACTTTGATCAAGTCCGAGACTGAAGTTAGCAAGGACGGCAAGAAATTCGAGAAAGTGACTTTTGGGGATTATGTCTGGATCACTTTCGATCAAGCTTTTCAACGAGCACAGAACACTGCATCAGGGCTGGTGGCGCTTGGACATGACAAAGAAGAAAAGATTGCAATCTTTGCGGAAACTCGACCCGAGTGGCTCATTGCGCTGCAGGTGAACGAATATTGGTTCTTTATTTTCATAGAGCTAAAATGTTACCTCAGGCCTGCTTCCGGCAAAATTTTACTGTTGTCACAATATACGCATCACTGGGTGAGGAGGCCCTTGCTCACTCGCTCAATGAGGTATGGCGCACATTTTTCCCTTCTTTTTTAGATTTTCCCTCACTGCCGTTAACAGACAGAGGCGACGACTGTGATCTGCGACGTCAAGCAGCTGCAAAAAATAATTGGGATGAGCAGCCACTTGAAGACTGTAAAGCGTGTCGTGTGCATGGATGAGGAAAACCAGCGCTTGGACACAAATCTTTCCGGGAAGACGAACTGGAATGTGTCATCTTTTTCACAGCTGGAGAAATTGGGACGTGACACGCCAAGCGAGCCTCGTTTGCCGGCACCTGAGGATCTTGCTGTTATCATGTATACGAGCGGCAGTACGGGTATGCCCAAGGTCAGTGTGGTGCATCATGATGCTCTTGTTTTTATCATTTATGTTTGGTTTTCCAGGGTGTGATGATTTCGCATGCAAATATCGTGTCAACTGTTGCTGGTGTTATGACTGCTGTACCGGAACTCAATCACAACGATGTCTACATTGCTTATCTCCCACTTGCCCACATTTTGGAACTCGCTGCGGAAGTAAAATCTACCGTTTCTAACTGGAAGTGTTACTGAAGTTCGCTACAGGTGACCATGCTGGCGGTTGGAGCTTCCATTGGTTATGGCTCACCTCTGACGTTAACCGATATATCTAACAAGATAAAGAAGGGAACAAAGGGTGATGTAAGCGTGTTAAGGCCGACGCTGATGACTGCAGTCCCTGCAATTCTTGATCGTATCCGAGATGGTGTCAGAAAAACGGTTCGCTGACTATTTTTCATTGGATTCCATCTCTAACATGACTTTCACTTTGTCAGGTTGATGCAAAGGGCGGTGCTGCAAAAAAGCTTTTCGACCTTGCCTATCGACGACGCCTGGCAGCTATTGAAGGCAGCTGGTTTGGTGCGTGGGGATTGGAAAAGCTTTTCTGGGATGCTCTGGTGTTCAAAAAGATTCGCGGTGTACTTGGTGGAAGAGTTCGCGGATTGTTATCAGGTGGTGCCCCTCTCTCTGCCGATACTCAACGGTTTATAAATATTTGTTTTGGGTAAGCTGGCTAGATTTCCACCTTAAGGTTGACGTTGATTTGTTTTGTCCAGGATACCAATTGGACAGGGTTATGGTCTTACGGAAACCTGTGCCGGTGCAACATTTTCTGAATGGGATGATATTAGCGTTGGCCGTGTCGGCCCACCAGTCCCACATTGCTATATCAAGGTTGTATCGAAATCTCTCTCTGAACTTTGTCTCACTCTCGGGTGCGCATTTTACAGCTCGTGAACTGGTCGTCTGGAGGATACTTGGTGACTGATAAACCCATGCCTAGAGGAGAAATTGTCATTGGCGGCCCCAGTGTTACATTGGGATACTTCAAGAACCAGGGGAAGACGGATGAAGATTACAAGGTACAACTTTTCAGTTTCCTTGAAGCGTTCATGTTTAATTCGTTTTTTTGTGAAGGTTGACGAGAGGGGCATGAGATGGTTCTACACTGGTGACATTGGACAATTCCATCCCGATGGTTGCTTAGAAATTGTAGACCGGAAGAAGGACATTGTTAAGCTTCAACATGGCGAATACGTATCGCTGGGCAAGGTATGATGCTATCTACACTTGGACAAGAGAAGTGATTTCGTTTTTACTTTTGGCAGGTCGAGGCAGCATTATCGGTTAGCCCGATGGTGGACAGCATCATGGTGCATGCTGATCCTTTCCACAGCTACTGCGTTGCGCTGGTTGTACCATCGCAGAGTTATCTGGAGAAGTGGGCGAAGCAGTCGAACGTGCAGTATAAGAACTTCGAGGAGCTGTGCAAGAACAAAGAGGCGGAGAAGCAGATAGTCCAATCCATGGCGCAGGTAAAAGACGAGCTTTTAAGTTTTCTATGTCCGAGCAAGTGTTGAGCGTGGCTTGTTTGTCAGGTGGCCAAGGAAGCGAAGTTGGAGAGGGTTGAGATTCCAGCGAAAGTGAAGCTGCTGCCAGAGGCGTGGACGCCCGAGACCGGCCTCGTCACGGCCGCGTTGAAGCTCAAGCGGGAGAACATCCGGAAAACGTTCGCCGATGAGCTCAAGCAGCTATACGAGTAAACAGCTGACGTATGTCTTCCTTTCTTTCTTTTCTTTACAATTAAAATACGAGTCCCATTAAAATTTGACATCGTAGGAGAACAAGCTCTCCACAGATAGATCTAGTTGTATAGACCGATGGATGTTTCCAAAACTCTAAAAAAACTAGTGGAATTATCAAGGTGTTCATTCGAAGCTTCCCAATGATCTATGGATACTACGGCGTTGTTCTATCCCGGAACTCTCCACTCGCAAAACATATAGGCGCTGTGCTAAACTTGTCTGGAGACCCGCTCCTCGTCGTTAACATTCACGTCCGCTGACACAGCCTCGGGGCACCTCACCGCGAAACCGATGTGGTTGTTTGCCGGCTTGGCGTCGGCGCCATTCCCATTCTCCTTGTTCTTGATGGTAGCCTTTTCTTTCTTCGAGTAGATCGCGTACAGGATGAGCTGCGTTGTTGCGAGGCAAGTCCCAATCGCGTTTGGCACCTGTGTCGCGTCATGCATCAGGCGTTTAGAGCTATCAAAACGAAGATCGAGAGAGATGGGATGTGAGAGTTCGTCCACTCACAACAATGAAAGGGTCGATCTTTCCCAGGAATGCGTACGCTGTCCAGGTCAAGCCGTTGAGGAAGGCTGTCAGGGACAGCAGGAAAGGCATATATTTCACGCTCTTGGTCTGGATCACGAGTTTCTGCGAGAGAAGGGAGGGGATAAGTGACAACCGCTTTTGAAACCGAAGGTGGTGCTTATCAACACGTACCATGACGGACATCGGGGATGCGTACATGCCGGTACCAACGATCACACACAAAACGCCGACGATGAGCTGCCGCGTCTTGTGGACGTGTGTGATTGTCATTACCATCAAAGCCACTGCTGCGAAGAATGTGAGGACCACGGCGAGCATCTTGAGAACCTTGGCCTGTCAAACAGCAATCGAAGCGTCACGAAACCAGAAGGAAAAGAGAAACAAATTGAGGAAAAGCTGAGAGAGCTTGAGCAAAAGGATTAGCGTAGCTTACTCTCGGCTTATTTGGAGCGTAAAACAAGTAGACGCACAGATAGGTGCTCTCGAGAGCAGTGCCGATGCCATTGATGGTGACGACGAGAAGGCTGTTTGGAGTAACGAATGGAAGGCCGTACAGGGTCCAGAGGAGACAATTAAGCAGCGTAGCGACGTAGGGGACCCCTGAGAACTGCTCAGTGTCTTTCAGTCGAATGATCTTGTAGAATGTTGGCCTGACAAACAAACGTTATAAGAATGAGCAAAAGAGCAAGGAAACCGAAAGGAAGAAACTCTGCTACTCACAAGGGGGACATGAACAAGCCGAAAGCAATCACATTCCCTGCACCGGCGGCAGAGCATAAGACGGACACAAGTGAAAATGCGAGATCACTCACCCATGATGCCAACTACGGTCCGAATGGTGTAGACTAGCGTCATCTTTTCCGAAAGGAGCACCCGAGAGACCTGTAGAAGCTAAAGAAAACAGGACGAAGCTAGCTACAACGGAAGAATCAGGCAGAGGATTTTTAAGCACCGGCGACGACGACGCCAACGATCAAATCGCTTATATGCTAACTCTCATGCAAGGCGGCAGCAGCAGGAAATAAAAAACGAGTGCAGAAAACGAGATGATTTTACAAATGACATGCAGCGAGTGAGAGAGCGTCGGAGTAGAATATGTAGCGAGCGAAAAATGAATGAGCTCTAGAACCTATGCGTGCATATCGAAAGTACCGTTTGAGGAGGAATCCCTGGTCTCTTCCCAGGACAAGGTAGGAGGAATGCAGAAGGCATGAAGTGAAAGAAGGATCCCCGGGAAATATGACACGACTGGTGGTGAAGGTGATGGTTTTTGAGATGGATGGAAAGATGGAAAACCCGGAGGGAGACACTGGACGGCTCGACTGATCGCGGAGATGAGGAGATAAAAGTTTTGGAAGAGCTGGGAGGTGGCAACGCACCGAGCAAGAACTCTTTTCTCTCGTAATGGTGCATTAGGTGGAGGATGGAATCTGCAAATGACAGGATTGAAAGCCCCGATAGTTTTGGGTTTCAGTGTATCATAAATTTGGCTTGCATGCATCACCACCAAAGGCGCTCGATGATTAGACCCGCGTGCAATGGAAAATGAAAACCATAAGTGAAACACGAAAAGCACTGGAAAAATTCTACCTTTGGAAGAGCAAGTCATTGTACACAGAAAAGATGGAACACCCACTACACTCCTTTGGAGATTTCCGCTTCTTTCTTCTTGCACACATCGTCTACGGCTTTCACAAACTGCTTCGTCAGCTCGTCGACCTGGCCGGCAAATGTGAGGAAAGGGACAAAAGCGAAGAAACAAATCAACCTCCTTTTCATGACGTTTCAATTCGTCTTTGGACAAGCTTGATGACATCTTCTTCAATTGATCCATCGCCTAGAGAGGGAGCGGGTTAGAGACAAACAAAACGGCGTGACAATGACATACCGTCTGCCTTCCTCTCCTGATGCTTTTCTTAGTATCCTCCCCTGCCTTGGAAGCCAACTTGCACATACTCTAGACAAAGAAGCAAAGATACTCTTACGTGAGACCAAACAAATAAAAAAACGTAAATAGAGAAACTTACATCTGACAGTTCCTTTGTGAGCCTGGATCACCCCCGAAAAGAAGGAAGTAAAACAAATTTGCGTTAATTTGTGCAAGCGAAGCTCAGGAGACCGACGGCTTACTTTGGAATTGGAACCGAAATGATTTGCTCGGCTGCAATCGGATTCAGCCCCAAAGGTGACAAGCGAATGGCAGCCTCCACCTTTTTCACGGTCTAAAGCCAGGCAGCACTCAGAGGACTTGACACGTAAAGTCGCAGGACCACAAAACTTACAGAAGTGTCGAATGGCATGACAGACAACGTCTGGGAGTTGACGACGGAAACAGCAGCAACGTGACTCAACGCGACAGGTTTCTCATCGATTTCCACCTCCACATGATCCAGCATTCCTGTGGAAAATTCGAGTTAGACAAGGCTAAAACTCCGAGGGAAGAAAAAAAAATAACTAAAGCGTGCACGTAAGTGGAATTAAAGGAGTGACAAGTGAAACTCTAGAACAAAAAGGATTGCAAGTAAGTTGTATCATCTCAGAGATGGAAACGCTAGAGACTAGAAAGACACACACACACACACACACACACACACACAAACACAAAGAAAGAAGAAGAACAAAAACTTACCTGGAGTGGCTCTCCCAGTTCGAAGCTTACCGAGCTCCGTGGCGAGAGCGTCCATGGCGGCGTCCATGTGTTCTTTGGCACCTCTCTTTGGTTCCTCCACGTCCAAATCAATTTCCTCCTCCTCCTCTTCCTCGTCCTCTTCTTCTTCCTGTGCTCGAGCGGCCTTCTTCGCCTCTGGACAAGGAGAGCATCCCACAAGGTTTGATACAGACAAGCAAATCACAACACACCTACTTGCCGACTTCTTCGCGAATCCCCTCGCGAAGAACAAGGAGTAGCTGCCAGGCTGATCACGAATCAATGGCGAATCGGTGCCGCCAAACGCCGGGCGGCTAAAGAATCGATCGCCGGAAGCGCCACATTGCACGGATTGGAGAGCGCCGCAGCAGCGCCTCCGGATGATCCCCCGCGACAGCGCTCGCCGCATTGCCGCCATCGCCATAAACCCTAAACCCTGCTAGTCTAGGGTTCTTCGCGGATCATGGCGATTCGATTGCTGCTGCCCCTGCGCGTGCTCAAGCGGGTGTGGAAGGCGGGCGAGGACGCGCAGAAGTACCCCGCGCTTGCGATGTTCTTCCACCGCGAGATGGGAGTGATGCTCAAGAAGATGATGCTGGGCTACGAGCCGGAATTCCGGAGCTGGAGGAAGGTGCTCGAAAAGGCCGAGCGGCGAAAGAAGGTGGGGATCGCGATGAAGCTCTTGGAAGGCCGCATTCATCCACGATCTTAGGGTTTTAGATAGCGATGGCTTACTCCTCCCTCGCGGCTGGGGCTCCTTTGCTGGCAGCATCGCTGCCTCGACGATCTAGCAGTTTTATTTCTCCTTCCTCCCCCTGGATTTCGTGTGCTCCACGATTCCTTTGCTCGGCGGCTCACTCCCGGTCAAGGATTTCCTGCTCGCGGAAGGATGCGGTCGCCGCGAGATTCATCCGCGGCAGCGACGAGGATTTGGACGTGGTTCCAGCGGGCGGGCAGCCGGTGATTACTGCGAATCTCGTCGCTGGGCTCTTGTGGAAGGAGAGGCTCCGGCTATTCGTCTCGTTCGTCGCGCTGCTAGGATGCTCGTCGTGTACTCTCACCATGCCCATCTTCTCTGGTAAGTTCTTTGTTTTGGTGGAAGAGCTCGTTTTCTTCTTTGTTCTAGCTAAGGCTCACATAATTTTTTTCTCTAGGAGCGTTTTTTGAGACACTCATTGGGAGGCGATCGCAACCTCTCTGGAAAGTTTTGCGAATGCTGGCTCTCGTCTACGTGCTCGAGCCCGTTTTAACCGTGGTATTCGTGACTAATATGATCGCTGCCTGGGAGAACGTCATGGCAAAACTTCGCTCGCAGCTCTTTCGACGGCTTCTCGTGCAACGGGTAATGAAAAGCTAGTTTTTTCTTACTTTTCCTCGTGGTGATTGATGGTTCCTTAATCAGATTGAGTTCTATGATCGGCATAAGGTATTCTACGGAAGCTTTGAGATGTGTTCTAGACGTAAATTCTACGTTTGCAGTAGGTTGGAGAGCTTACCTCTTTACTTTCCACGGACCTTGGTTCGATCAAGGACATAATCAACGAAAACATTTCCAGGGATCGTGGCTTTCGAGCGCTGTCAGAGGCAAGCATGTCTTACGTTTGTGTTTGTAAAACTTGTCATGCGTTTCTTCTGGATGCAGACGCTAGGAACACTTGTGATATTGTTCTTTCTTTCTCGAGAGCTAGCACCGATTCTCGGACTGCTCATGCTTTCGATATCAGTATCTGTGGGTACGTAAGTGGATTGTTCCTGAGTGTGTGTTAATGCGTTTATCTCAGCTGTCTACAAGCGGACTACTTTACCTGTTTTTAAGGCGCATGGCGAAGCCCAAAGCCGTATAATGAATACCGGGAATGAAACATTTTCTGCTATACGAACTGTAAGTGCTAGGACTCAATGGTTTTTTTTGTTCTCCTAGAAGGCTGATTACAGGATGTAGGTGAGATCTTTTGGAGGCGAACGGAGACAAATGTCCTTGTTCGAAAGGCAGGCAAGATCTACATTTTGTCATCTCGTGCAATGGATGCTTATCCTGGTTCTTTTAGGTGCTGGCGTATAAAGAAAGTGGAAACAGGCTGGGGTGGCTTAAATCTGCGAACGAGTCGTGGACACGCATTGCCATCTACATTTCACTAATGACGCTCTACATTCTTGGTGGAATGAAAGTTCAATCAGTGAGCTGACTGATGAGAATATTTTTTTCATTGAAGTCAGCTGTTGTCTCAGGGCGACCTCGCTGTCGGGAAGATGGTGTCATTCATTGGGTACACGTTCACGTTAACTTTTGCTGTAAGTTCCCTTGATCAACCTTCTTTGAGCATATAGCGACTGCTTTGTACTGTCAGGTTCAAGGTCTCGTGAATACTCTTGCGGACATGAGAAACATGCTAGCTTCCGTTGATCACGTCAACTCGGTCGTTTCGAAATCAGGCGCCGACGACTTACTTGCTAGGGGCTTGGGGGATTTAAAGAGGCCTTCAGAAGGTGTTTGTAAGCTTGCCTGGTCTGGAGATGTCGTCTTGGAAGGTACCTTTCTCTCATGAGCTTTTCTTTTAGTATAAGCTGAAAGAATTGGTGATGCAGATGTTCACTTTTCATACCCAATGCGACCTGACGTCGCAGTCTTGAGAGGAATATCTTTACGATTGAAGCAGGGGACAGTAACAGCTCTTGTGGGATCCAGTGGTGCGGGGAAAAGCACCATTGTGCAGCTACTTGCTCGGTTTTATGAGGCCAGTACTCAATGATGTTCTTGCGTGCATCTGATTGTTCGCATCCATCTTCTGACAGCCAAGTAAAGGGAGAATAACGCTCGCTCAAAAAGATGTTCGCTTGTTCGACAAAACGGAGTGGGCGAGCGCCGTATCGATCGTGAATCAGGTTGGTGCCATTTTGTCTTTATATTTGCGTGACAGGAAACTGACGCTGGGATTCTTCGTTGCTTTTTCAGGAGCCTGTTTTGTTTGCGGTTTCTGTAGCTGAGAACATTGCTTATGGCTTGCCAAACGACGATGTACCAGAGGAGCAGATTGTTGCAGCAGCAAAAGCAGCGAACGCACACGAATTCATCGTAAAGCTGCCACAGGTAAAAGTGATCAAGTCTCTCTACTCTCTCGTTATCACAGTTTACATTCGCAGGGCTATGAAACTCTTGTTGGTGAACGGGGAAGCCTATTAAGCGGTGGTCAGAGACAGGTAACTCCTCGCAGTATTTTTATTAAACTCTTCGAGGTGATACCTCACACAGCGGATAGCGATTGCAAGAGCCTTGCTTAAAAACTCTCCCCTTTTGATTCTCGACGAGGTTAGCTTAAGTGATCATCAAGCATGACCCCCTTTTCTCCTTTCTTGCAGGCTACGAGTGCTTTAGACAGCGTCAGTGAAAAGCTGGTTCAGGATGCTCTAAACCGATTGATGAAGGTAACAAAAGCTATGCTTTTATCGCTTCTCAAGCTGTTTTTTTCTTGATCTATGACACAGGGAAGAACTACTCTTGTGATCGCTCACAGGCTCAGCACAGTCCAAGCGGCCGATCAAATCGCCGTGTGCTCCAATGGCTCCATAGTTGAGCTCGGCAAACACGCAGAGCTCCAGGCCAGAAGTGGAGGAATGTACGCCAATCTCGTACAAAGCCAAAGATTAATCTTCGAATAAAGCCGAGGAGAGGACGGACTATTTTTTTCCCTCGCTAACGTTTTTCTGTTTCAAATGTCCGCCGTCCGACAGTGATATCCAATGCGCCAGATTGAACGGCCCGGCTGTTGTGAATCCAACGGCTGGCAGCACACGTCTATAATTTCACTTTTTTCTTCTTTCACTGTCACTCCAGGGGTTTGGCTCTTCGCGCTAGGGTTTCTAGGGAATGCAGGGTGATTGCCGCCGCGCGGGAGCGTCGGCGGGCGCCGGCTGGTGCTGCGGGCAAAGATTTCCCCGGAAGACGATGGATGGAGGCGCCGAGAGGTCGAATTACGGGCGAATGGAGTGAGAAATTCGGGTATGTGACTCAGAGGCGAATCTTTGACAAGCGCCTTGTCGACGTTTGAGTTCTTTGCCCACGCAATGGCGGTCTCGAGTGAATCTGTGATGAATGAGCTCCAGCAAGTCCAGCTACGGGCGCAGATTTTGGTGTTCGGTCGCCTCCTGTAAGTTTGAGAAAGTTTTATTTTTTCTTTGCGAGAGAGTAGCTAAGAATGTTCTCTCCAGGCAAGGAACTGTTCCAGAGGAACCATTGATGGTCGGAGCTTTTTCAGATACATCAACGGGTATGTTGCAGATTCTTTTTGTTAGGTGTTTGAGTTTGACTTCACTATCACAGGATTGGAACAAGATTCGTGGAACGAGGGACGACATATATGGGAGAAGGCTTGGCATACTGCCTCGATAAAAGCTCGGGAGGAAACTGCGGCTCAAGATGGTGATGCTGCCACAGATCCTGATGCGGAAGGCAATGCTCAAAGCACCACGCCCCGGCTTGTGGAGAGCATGCCGACAGCCACGCGATCCTCACTTACGGCATTGCACCCGGCAGCATTCCAGACTGAGGAAGAAGATGGTTTACAAGGTGCAAGGAAAAGGAAAAAGTCGAGGCTGTCTGATTCTCACCAAGACGACGATGCAGAGGAACTGGATATTGGTCAAGTCAGACAGGAACTCGAGAATGCGCAGTCCATGGTGACATCGATTTTAGAACACAGAAAGACACTTCGTCCGCTCTTTCAAAAGCAGGATGACGGTCAGGGTCTACTGGCTTCTGTCACTGTTGCCTTCGAAGCAGCAGTGTCGGCTGCCAAGGCAGCTGCTGCGGCCGCGGCTCTGGCCTATGAAGCCGCATCCCAGGCTGCAACTGGTCATCCAGCAGGGGACAGATACCAGCAGCAACCGGACTCTAACCCGTTGGACTACGAAGAAATTTCGTGTGTGGTTTTGAAGGCCGTTTCACAAGCCCAGATTGCTCTCGCAATCGGCAGTTCGGAATTTCGGACAATGAACCGGCAGAATCAACTAGCTACTCAGGTGGATTCATCTATGCTGACCGAAGGGGTGAATGTAGAGGTTTGTTTTTTCGTCGTCTTCCTTTCTTCTACAATCTCACATTCCACTTTCAGGTCAAGTCAGGTCATCCTGAAGGATGGCTGACTGCTAAGATTATAACTGTTAAAGACGGAATGGTACTCGTTGCGTACCACGAGCTTGTAGATGATAGTAAGTTTAGCTCAATATTTTGTTACCTTGTAACTGAGTGAAAAACGTTGCAGGTAAGAATCATGTTACGGAATGGCTACACATTGAGCCTAGCCGCTCGACATCTTTTGAACATCCGAGACTCCGGTGTCCATATCCTACTTTCGATCTGAATGAGACTCATGACGAGGCACCTAAAGTTTGGACTGCTGGGGATCGCATAGATGTTCGAGATGGGCATGCGTGAGTATGAAATTCTATTTCCCGATGCAGACAGACTAACGCGCTACTATGCCCAGTTGGAGAGAAGGGCTTGTTGTTTGGGCTGGCGACGACGAATTGATCGTCTTCTATTCAAGTAAGTCTCGGAGTTCCTGGTCAAACGTAAATTTGTCAATGTTACAGGTGAAGGTGCCCTGGACAGTGTGAAGTCCTGCGATGTAAGGCCTTCGTTACTGTGGCAAGGGAACAGGTGGATCCTGCGGAAAGATCAAATGGAAAAGGTAAATGCGTGCGTAGTAGATTCGTTATAACAATCTGCGTAACCGGTGGCAGGAAGCAGCAAGTCCCGGGCCTGACCTTGAAAACAATGCAGACAATGGTGAAACCGGCCCATCACCCAACCACAAAATGAGGAAACTCATAGACGTTATTCTTGAGGAAAGTGAAGCTCAAAGAAAGAGGGAAGAGAACCGCAAGGCAAAGAGGCAAAAGAGAAACGCCGATACCAAGAACCATAGCAAAGTCACTAGTAAGGTGAACAAGGCGAAGAGACTAATTGAGAAGGCTAGCAAACCCAACCTGCAAGTATCGGCCTCCCGTCTAACCAGGCAGTTTGTGGGCAAGCTCTCCCCGGCATCAGCTTCAGGTAATTCCTCCGAGGTGGTAATTACTAAAAGACATCAAATCCTGAGACAGCTAGTAAAGCTCAAAGCGTCTCCAAGGAAAAGCTTGGCGAAGCAGCAGCAGGCAGCAAGCAAAGGCGAGCGGCCCCAACGGGTCATACAACCAACGGCCAAGGTTGTTGATTTTTTCGGTTCCAGATCTTACTGATTACGTGCACAGGGACTTGCAAGTTTTGATATGTTCTAATTCTTTTTTATACACATTTGAGTCGTAGGCTCTCATGGTGTGAGCGAATCGATGAAGCTTTCAAGACCCTCGGTGACGCAGTGCACGGTGAGAGTTTTTTCGATTTCATTCATGCTGTTGCTAACTTAGCTAGGGCGCTACTCTTGCAGGGTCTAGCTTTTCGTATGGATCTCCCAGCGAAGAAGTCACAGGGGTCCGACTGGGTAGTATGGCAATTGGTCGACTCGTTCTTTCCAACCGGCGGCTTCGCGCATTCTTACGGTCTCGAGGCAGCAGTCCAGGCGGGACTCGTTAGCGACTCCAAGTCCCTCGACACTTTCATCAAGTCAACGCTCGAGAACTCGGGATCGCTGCTGCTGCCGTTCGTCTCAGCGAGCTTCAAGCTACCGGACGTGGCCGGATGGATCGAGCTGGACCGGCTGCTCAACGCGACGCTGAGCAACCACGTCGCGAGACGAGCGTCGTCGAGCCAGGGGTCCGCGCTGCTGAGGACCGCGGCTACAGTGTACCCCGATCTTGCGGAGCTGGGAGAGCTGCGAGGGGTGGTCCGAGCGGGGCGAGCTTCCGGCCACCACGCCGGCGTGTTTGGGATCGTGTGTGGGCTGCTCAAGCTGGACGCGCTCACTTGCCAGCGAGCTTACCTCTACCTGACGCTGAGGGACGTGCTGTCGGCGGCAACCCGGTTGAATCTGGTCGGGCCGCTGCAAGCCGCGGCGATGCAGCAGAGCTTGCGAGGATTTGGCGAGGCCGTGGTGAGGAAATGCGCGGACAGGGGTGTGGAGGACGCTTGCCAGGTCTCGCCTCTCTTGGACACCGCACAGGCTTGTCACGATCACCTCTTTAGTCGCTTGTTCTGCTCGTGATCCTCGAGTGAAGAAATGCTAGAACCCTAAAACATTTGACATTACCTTTCAGATAATAAACCAAATTAAAGGCCTTTTAACTTTACAATAAGAATATTCTCCTGCTAGAACCCTAAAAACTGTATAATTGAAATTACCTTTAGCCTTTGACTTTGAGAATATTCTCCAAGACACTTTCCTAGGGTTTTTGGGCTACTACGTGGCAAGCATGCTATGCAGTCCCGTGTCAGGGGCTTCTGGCGATGGATTTTGCGGGCGTGGTGTGACAAGGTATTGCATTTCCCCTCTATCCGTGATCCATGACGAGATCCACCGTCGGATCGCTCGCCCGGCGCCTCTTTGCATCGCAGCCCCGCCAGGCCGCCGCCGCTCAAGCGCCAGACGCGATCAATGTCGAAATTCCGGTGCCATTCCAGCTCCATCTCCTCCAGGAAGGCCCCGCGCGGGAGTCCGTCACGAGCAGAGAGGAGCTGGTCAAGATGTACAGGGATATGTTTCGGATCCGGCGAATGGAGATCACTGCGGACAAGGTATAGGGATTTTCTTTTCGGTTATCTCCAGGGGAAGAAGATTGATCGATTTTTCGGCGCCAGCTCTTCAAGTCCCAGCTCGTCCGGGGATTTTGCCATCTCTACGATGGCCAAGAAGCGGTCACTATAGGGATGGAGGCAGCTTTGACGTACGAGGACACCGTGATCACGGCTTACAGAGATCACGCTACATTTCTCGGACGAGGAGGAACTGTGCACGTAAGTGAGTTTCTCAGTTTTAGGATGGTTTCAACGAAAGGAGCTGAAAATTTCTTTTTTTTTTCTTCCAGGAATGTTTTGCCGAGCTCATGGGAAGATCTACAGGGTGTGCTCGAGGGAAAGGAGGGTCTATGCATCTCTACAAGCCTTCCAATAATTTCTATGGAGGATGGGGGATTGTGGGAACCACGGGACCGCTCGGTGCCGGTTTGGCATTTGCAAATAAGTACGAGAAGAAGAACAACGTTGCGATGGCCATCTACGGTGATGGTGCAGGTAATCAGGTTTGTGAGCATTGCCTCTTTGCTTGGTCTCAAAGCGTAGTGTGTGCTTAGGGACAATTGTTTGAAGCGAAGAACATGGCCGGGCTGTGGGATTTGCCGCTTATCTTTCTCGTCGAGAACAATCACGTAAGTGAAGCTCGTACTTTTCATTAGCGTTTCTTCTTTTCCCTCGGTTTGCAGTATGGAATGGGAACAGCCGAGTGGCGAGCTTCGAAAAAGACTACGTTCTATGACCGTGTTTCTTACATTCCTGGGATAAAGGTACCGAGGGGCTTTGATTTTTTGTACTTGAACACTCAACTGGAATCGCAGGTTGACGGGATGGATGCTTTTGCTGTAAAAGAAGCTACGAGATTCGCCAAAGAGCACTGCCTGTCTGGAAAGGTAGAGCTTTCTTTTTTTCTTCTTGGTTCTTCTTCGAGATCTTTTAGTGCTTCCTCTCCAGGGTCCCATTGTTTTGGAGGCGGACACGTACAGATACCACGGCCACAGCATGTCGGATCCCGGCAGCACTTACAGGACACGAAACGAGATTCAGGGAGTTCGTCAGGAGCGCGACCCGATCGAGCGCATCAAGAAACTTATGATTAAAGTAAGTTGAGCTCGCAAGCACTGAAAGTCTTCCTCAGTTTTCACTCACTCTTCATTTGTTCTTCTTTCACAGGAGAATGTGATGAGAGAGGAGGAATTCAAGGCAGTGGACAAGGAAATCAAGCAAGAAGTTGACGATGCGGCAGCCAAGGCCAAGGATGATCCAAATCCCGGCGAGGAGGAGCTCTTCATGAACATCTATAAGAATGACTCGGGCCTCAAAACGTATGGCTGTGATAGAAACATGGTTCGTGTACAATTGCCATGAGCGACATATATTTGCTAGGGGAGTTTGTGGCTTCTCATTGTCATGTGTATCGAGTAGTCTAGGTAGTGTGGCAAAGGGAGCTCTCTGGCTATGGCGCGGGTGGCGAGCGTCGCCGCGATTCTTCCATGGCGGCATCACGGCTGTGGGAGCAAGCGCGCCGGCATTGCCTCGCCGGATCATCCACGGATATGGCAGAATCCACCGCTCGGGCATGGAAATATCGCGGCGCAGCGATCGGTGACGCAGATTGGGGCGAGCGGCAGTGGGAGATTTGCCGCTCTGGATTCCAAGGTAGGGACGATCGCGTCGGATGCCGCCGGGGAAGTGGCGGTTTTCTGGGAGAGCGATTGCCTCCTCGCCGCTCGCGTCAAGAACAAGGGATTGGATGTGTTGCAAGGAGCAGTGGCCCTTGTGAAGAATCTGGGATTCAAGGTTGCCGAGGCGACGGTCCAGCTCGAAGAGAATGCCATGGACGACGGGGTTTCTGTGCAGTTCCTCAAGATTTTGGTAAAGAATGCCAGGGACAAGAAGCTGGATGCCGCGGAGAAGAGCAACCTTGCAACATCGCTCATGGATTTCATCGTCAGGTCGTACGTTCCAGGCGCTCCTAGCTCGGATCCGGGGTTTAGGCACAAGATGGAGCGAATGTACAAGCTCATGGATCAGTACTTGAAGAACGATACGTTTAGCATCCAGAAAAACATCGTGGATCACTCCGAGTATACTCTGGCGAGATCACGATTCCGGTTTGATGACTTCGAAGCATACCAGGTAAGTGATATTGGTTTTGTCGATTTTTCGTGCCTATCCTTGTGGCTGACGCGTGTCTCCATGTCTAGGCCACTGCCTATAGCGTGCGGGACCGGCTGATCGAGAGATGGAACGATACGCATTCACTTATGAGAGAAAAGGACCCCAAAAGGATATATTATCTTTCAATGGAGTTCCTCATGGGTGAGCATTCTCTTCAAGGTCGCCTTCTTGAGCGTTATGACTCAACCTTTGCATGCAATCAGGTCGTTCGTTGCTAAACAGTATCATCAATATCGGGGTCAAGGGACAGTATGCGGATGCTTTGAAACAGCTCGGGTTCGATTTAGAAATTTTGGTCGAGCAGGTATATAGTGTGTGTGTTTTACAGAGTTTCTCAGGTTTTCTTTGTCTTTTGTTCTTCTTTTGCAGGAGAGAGATGCTGCTCTTGGAAATGGTGGACTCGGCCGGCTTGCTGCTTGTTTTTTAGACTCGCTTGCGACTCTAGACTATCCTGCTTGGGGGTAAGCACGTATTAGTTTCAAGAACTGCGAAACAGCGTACTGTTTTTTCTGGCAGTTACGGTTTAAGATATGAATATGGTATGTTTAGGCAGACTATACAGGATGGGTTCCAACTCGAGCATCCCGATTACTGGTTAAATTTTGGTAATCCATGGGAAATTCAGCGAGTTCATACAACATATCCTGTAAAGGTTAGTCGAAGTCCTGCTAAGCGGAGGCTCTAATCTGACGAATTCCGGCAGTTCTATGGTCATGTGGACGAAATACAAGAGAACAATAAGAAAACATATATTTGGACATCTGGGGAAACGGTAAACAGATATTGATTTCTCTCCGATGAGACTAACTAGATTAACAGGTTGAAGCTGTTGCCTACGACAATCCAATCCCCGGGTATGGTACAAAAAATACCATAAATCTGCGGCTCTGGGCTGCAAAACCAAGTGGCGAACTTGAACTAGTAGGTGGCTATGTAAACTTTATCATTTTGATCTTTAATTTCTTCCCGTTTCAGGACTCTTTTAGTACTGGCGACTATGTGAATGCAGTGCTTAGTAAGCAGCGAGCTGAGACGATCAGCAGTATTCTTTACCCAGACGATAGGACATATCAGGTTGTATTTTTTATGCTTTTCTTTCGTAAACTCAACGCATGCTACAGGGCAAAGAGCTCCGGTTGAAACAGCAATTTTTCCTGGTATCAGCTTCTTTACAAGATGTAGTACGAAGATATAAAGATTTTCATTGCGATTTTGAGGCTTTTCCTCAAAAGGTTGGTATCTTGGTAAAATGAATGATTAACTTACAAATTGTCCAAATGTCAGGTTGCCTTTCAGCTAAATGATACACATCCAATCATTGGCGTGGCAGAACTGATGAGGATACTTTTGGATGAGGAGAAGCTAGATTGGGTGAAGTCATGGGAAATAACCACTAAAGTTTTCTCTTTTACAAATCACGCAATCCTCCCCGAAGCATTGGAAAAGTGGCCTTTAGAGCTTTTAGAGAACCTTCTGCCACGCCATTTGCAGGTCTTTCTTTGGAATCTTTGTTGAGTTTTTCTCATGGTGCGTGTTGCAGATAATCTATCGCATCAATTTCTATTTTATGGAGGAAATGAAGAAAAAATTTGGCGATGATCTTGTTCGTCTGTCTAGATTATCTATTATCGAGGAAGGCGAGAAGAAAGTAAGCGTCGCTGTCTTCAACAAACTTTGATCAAGTGTTCCACTTGCAGAATGTGCGTATGGCAAATTTGGCGCTTGTAAGCTGTCATACCGTGAACGGAGTGTCAAAAAGCCACTTCGAGTTCATTAAATCGTCACTATTTAAGGTACATTCCTTGGATCTCCGAATTATCTGTGACGAGGAGTGTTATCAGGACTTTCATGATATGTGGCCACACAAATTTCAGTGCAAAACAAATGGTGTTACCCAGGTAAATTCCGCATTTGTTTTGCCCTGCCGTTGACGTTTACTGTAAAACAGAGGAGATGGATGGCATGCAGCAATCCGGATCTAAGTCAGTTGATCACTAAGTGGCTAGGAACAGAAGCTTGGCTTAAAGAGCTGGACTTGCTCTTGGGCCTTCGTCTCCACGCTAATGATTATAATCTTCAAGAGCAGTGGATGAAGGTATCTTTTGGTAGCTCCTCTGGTAAAGGCTTATCTCATGGTTTGTAGGTGAGAAGATCAAATAAGTCAAGGCTAGCAGCCTATATACAAATAATCAGCGGTGCAAAGGTGGGTGATACTTTAACTTCCATTGACTCTCATCTCGGCTGCAGGTGAATGTCGATGCAATGTTTGACGTTCAAATCAAACGCATTCACGAGTACAAGAGGCAATTTTTGAATGTTATCGGCATCATCCATCGCTACGATTGCATTAAGGTGCATTGTTTTTAGTTCACTATTTTGC